GGGATTAAAGGCATGTGCCACCACCGCCTAGCTGGCTTAAATAATTTTTAAAATATGTATTTATTTTATTGTATTGCATGAGTATATTGCCTACATGTATGTATGTGCATTATGCATCTGTCTGGTGTCCTTAGAGGCCAGAATAAGGCATCAGATCCCCTGGAACTGGATGGTTGTGGGCCACTATGTAAGAGCTAAAAGTGAACCCAGGTCCTCTAAAAGAGCAATCAGGACTTTAAACTACTGAGCCATCTCACCAGCCCTATTTCCAGTCTTCTAAACAGGCCCTAGTTGGAGAGAGGGCACTGTGGCACCCAAGAACCAAGGGGATTAGGTTAATTAACCAGGGTAATCAGATATACCAGAAGGCCACTAACAAAGCTCGGCACTTGGTTTGACCCCCAGGATCACATAAACCAGGGTTGGCAGTGCACACCTGTAATCTCAGCACCTGGAATAATGTACAGGCAGGATGATCACAAGTTCAAAGTCACCCTCTATATAGGGAGCTAGAGGCCAGCCTAGGCTACAGGGGGTCTAGCCCAGTGGCTATCCTGATGGGAAAGGTTAATGGACCCAGAGAAGCAGACAGCCAAGATGTAGGTGAAGAAGGAGCTGAGCCTTGGGCAAGGCCTCTGTAGCTGGACCACAACAGGCAATGGGCATGGCACAACGCTCCACAAGGAGATTTTTCTGGAAGGCTGAGCCCTTCCCAAGCGATGATGCTTGCTCTCCTGCCTCTCTCCTGCCTTCCTGCTGCCTGAGTGAGATTATGCTTTGAATCTGAACGCCCCCACAGGCTCATGTCACATTTTAAAAGCTTGGTGGCATTGTTCTTAGGGAGATGGGAGCTGGCTGGCAGAACCAGGATCTGGTCTTTACAGATTATGCCTTGGACCTCACCCTCTGCTTCTTCATCTGCCGCTCACTCCTGCCACCATGGTCACATTTTCCTTTTGTTTGGAACAGAGTCTTGCTAGATAGCACCATCCTTGTACTTCTGAGTGCTAGGATCAGAGGTGTGCATCATGCCTTCCTGGCCCTTGTGCACAGAGACCGTTTGCAACCATGAGCCAAAATGTCCCTTCTCTTTCTTCTCTTAAATGAAGCCACTGTGGTCACAGCCATGCAAAAACTAATGTGGGCTGCTCTGGAGAACAGATGCCACCAAGCTACCCAAGACTGGGCCTCTAGCTTTCCCATAGGGTGAGGCCGCCCTGCCCAAGGGCTCAAGATCTTAACACAGACACACACACACACAAACACACACACACTCATATTTGTTGTTTCAAGACAGGGTTTCACTGTGTAACAGCCTTGGCTGCTGTTGTCCTGGAACTCTCTCTGTAAACCAGTCTGGCCTTGAACTCACAGAGATTCCCCTGCCTCTGCCTCCTGAATGCTGGAATTAAAGGTCTGTGCCACCACTGCCAGGCCATATTTTTTCAACCTGAACTGCCTATACATCAGTCTTGTGTGACTTTAATCACTATGTGCCAGTCTCTGACAGAAGATCACCGTAGGAAAGCAATCTAGATATCTAGTCCTCATCTAAACATAACCCTGACAGCACATGTTTGTTGGAGACATGCATCAAGTGGTCTGAGAAACCTTACACAAGGAAACCCAAATGCCCATTTACAAAAGGCATATATAAACTGTGGTACATCTGTAGATGGAATACTACACAGAGCTAAAGAAGCATAAACAGTCATAATGTGGACTGCATCGTGAGATCCAGGCCAGTCTGGGCTACACAGGAAGACTTTATTGTTTTGTTTTTAGAGATGGGGTCTCACTATGTAGCCCTGACTGGCCTAGAATTGTAGACCAGATTGACCTGGAACTCACAGAGATCTGCCTACTTCTGCCAACCAAGTGTTGGGATTACAGGCATGTGCCACCAATCCTAGCCTTTTAAAGAAAAAAAAAAGTGTTTGAGGTAGGTGGATCTCTGTGAGTTTGAGTCCAGCTTGGTGAGTTCTGGGACATCCAGGACTATATAAAGACACACTGTCTTAAAAAAAAGTCTCTGGACATTTCCATGCCCAGAGCCTGCTGTCCCAGGTCATGGACGCTTGGAATAACCTCTTCCATGCATTAGATAACTGGAACACAAGAGGCCTTGTCTCACTGTCAGCCTCTGCCACTAATGCCTCAGGACTGCATTTGGTCACAATGGGACCACCTCCTCTAAGTCTAGCCGTACATCCTGACACTGGAATGCCCTTCCCCAGCCAGCTTCTTTACCTCAAGTCCCTGATAAGCTACTCTGACCTCCCTAGCTCAGGTGGCCCGAGCCACCACAGTTTCTTCCTGGTACCCTCAGGATATAGCCCTATGTCAATAGTTTTCCCCACCAGACAGACTGTTGCCTCCTGGCTCAATGCTGAGTCCTACAGTGCTGGCCCCATAGGGCATGAGGGAAAAGTTTATTGAATGAGGGCCAAGGAGATGGCTCAGTGGGTAAATGCACTTGCCATGCAAGCCTAGACACCCGAGTTTGAGCCCCAGAACTCATGCAAAAGCCGAAAAGCCAGACGAAGTAGCACTGGCATCTATAATCCCAGTACACATACTGGAAATGACAAGCCGAGACCAGGCACTCTCCATAGCCTCAAGGACCAGCTTACCTGGCTTACCCAGGGAAGGAGGCCTGAAATCTAGAAACAGAGGCAGACCCTACACTACATGTGATACTGTCTGTCCCTGCTCTCCATGGGAAAGCAGGATTCTAAAGACAATGACTCCGACTCCGTTTGCGGAAGTTCTGGACCAGCCCCCAACTCTGCCAAGTTTGAGGGTGTGGGAGTTTTCTCTCTCAGAGATGACCGTCAAGTGCTTTAGGATCCTGGGCAGACACGCAACTCAAGAAGTTCCCTTTCTTAAAAAACGTCCCAATCTGAGGTTACCTTCAACCCAGTTTGACCCAGGTGGTCAGCCCCATGGCCACGCCCACCAGCAGACCAGCCAATGAGGCAGGTGCCTTCCCAGCTCTTTTGAAAGGGGATCCGCCCAGAGCCATAGGGGACGGACTGGCGCCGAAGGGCAGCGGCAGCTGGGCTGCAGCTCAGGGCTATTTGGGACTCTGGACTTTGCGTTCCAGCTAGACACTTGGTCGTCCAGGACCTGTGGCCCCTTCCCGGTATGCCTGTCCAGAAGGAGAAATATTTTCATTCTTGGGGGGAATCAGTGAGTCTCATCAGCCCACACTCGGTGTCAGTCTGCTCTCCAGGTTCTATGAGCCCCGTCCCCCAAGAAGGGAGCAGCGTGCTGGCAAGGAGCCAGAAGCCAGCAGGCCGGCAAAAGGGCACCCACTACACTCCCAGAGAGGCCGGCACCCGAGCTGCCACTCTTGGGGCTATCTGACCCTACCTGGCAGCCACCAGCCCTGTGCTACTCTCTCAACCCATCCCTATCACTCGACACCAAACGTCTAACAGCATACAAGGCCAGTTATCGGAGGTCAGCATTACACACTTTGCCTCTGCACACTCGAGCGTGACCTTGGGGAAATGGGCTGCGGCATTGGGCCTCAGTTTCCCTCCTGCGCGTGGAGGAAGGTGGCAGGTCCCAGAGGATCTGGGCGGGAAGGGGAAAGGTAAGGGGTTCCTGGGCACCACAGCTGAGGTAAGGCTGCCTTCCCCACTCACTTGGCCAAGGGGTGACCTGGTGTGGGAGCTGGACATGAGCTGTGTGGGCTGAGGTGGGGTCCCAAGTGTCTCAGGGGCATGTGGGGTGCCATTCGGCCGGGGAGGCCCACGCCCTGCGCTCACACTTACTTTTGGCCTCCTTCCAGTCGGTGGAGGTGCTCAGGTCCACCTTCGCGG